ATTTGAAACAAAATAATAATAATAATAATAATACTAGAAAGTCTATAATATGACGACATATCTTAACAGAAATTGTATGTTACCTTACAAAACTAACGATAATAGCGATAATAATAATGATAATAAATTGACGAAAAGGTGGTAAAAGGTTTTTTTTTTTTGTATGGTGTTTAATTAGTTTCGTACCTGGGGGAAATTATCCGTAAACCGATAATCAATTAATTAGTGAAAAATTGTTATTCATTTTGTTTCGCTTACGTTTAACAAATGACGAAAATAAGTTTTCTTAAGATGGGGGAGTGAAAAGAAAAATTTAATAAAAATTCGCGTTATAATTAATGACAATTTGAAAATTTAAATACCCGCGCGTATTTCGTTTTTTTTTCTTTTTTTAAATTTTATTATTATTATTATTATTATTATTATTATTATTATTATTATTATTATTATTGGAATAATCGATCGATTTATCGATTTATCGACGATCGATAAAGGCGAAAAATGTGAGTTTTTTTTTTCGATTAATTACTTTGCTCATTTGTTTTATTTTAAAAAAAAAATTGACTTATATCTTCTCTCCCTTCATTATCAACCATCACTCTTTTCCTCCTCCCCACCGCTCCCTCCCTTGGGGAAAGAGGGTAGGAAGGGTAGGAGGGGGTAAAGTGACATTTTAAAAATTTATCCATCAACTCATGTACAAAAAAAATCTGCCAATGACACTTTAAACGAAACGAGTTACAAAAAAAAAGAGTAAAAGATTAAACTGTCAACAAGCGCAATGTTGGATAATTATTTAAAGGCAGAAAAGTTTTCAGGATCGGAAACTCCCCCCCCCCACTTTCCCCGGGCCAAAACAACCCCAAAAGGGACCGAAAGGGTCTTTACTATGAGGTAAGGGGTAAAATTTGAGTTTTTTGTTTTAACCTCCAGAGGATTAAAACACACAAATTTAACAATTAACCATTTATTTATTTATTTATTTAAAAAAACGAGGTGTGGGGGGTAGATGGATAAATAGAGACATAAAATTGTCATTTTTTCAAAAAAGTGAGGAGTCGGGGGGCAACAGAAAGAGAGAGAGAGGGGGGATAATTTCAATTAAACAATTCACGTGTATTCGTTTTTTTTTTTTTTTTTTTTTGTAAAAACTTGTTGACAAAACAAACGAAACAAAAACATTTTTGTTGTTGTTGTTGTTTAATTCTTGTTTTATTTAATGATTCTCTTTTTACACGTTTATAAATAACATGGCGGAGGATCCCACAAAAATAATAATAATAATATGAATTGCTTAATGAAGAAGGGATGCGTGTGCGTGTGTGTAAATTTAAACCACATCAAATATCAATAATAATAATAATAATAATTTAAAAGAAAAAACAGTTCGAAATAAAGTGGCAGGTGTTTGACAAAATAAAAAAATTAATAAACGAGATGAAATTTGCTATACAGCGTCCCTCCCACTACCTCCCCGTCACCCAGAAGAAAAAACGTGTTAAATAATAATTACCTTTTTCGGTTTTTAACGACGCTTCAATAATATTTCTTGTTGATGTTGTTGTTGTGGATTTCATTATGATTTGTGAAAACTTCTACTACCACGTTCAAACTATAATTTGTTTTGTTTTCTTTTTTTTTTTCTACTTCCACGTAATTTTTTTCTCAACATTTCTCCTGCAAATAGATAAATGTCATTTAAAAAGAAAAATAATTTTAAATAAAATATAGTTGGAAAAAGTTAAACAAATAAATTTATCTAATGACACGACACTTTAATATATATATATATTTTATTATTCTTAACGTTAAAAAAAAAAAAAATATTTATAATTTATGTGAAAATAAAATAATAAATATATATATTCTGGCAAAAAAAATTTTTTTTTTTTTTAATTGGATATTGATTCATATCGGCCATAAATTATACATTTTATTTTCCGTATAAAATCAACGTAGAAAAAAACAAATAATAATAATAATAATAATAATAATAATAATAATGATGATGATGATGATGATGACGAAATGAATTTCCCCACCCGAATAAAAATAATAAATATTATTATTCTTCAACAACTAAAGTTTTTTTTTTTTTTTTTTTAAAGGATGATGGAAATTAACGTTTAATAATAATAATAAATTTTTATTCGTTAATAAATCGATATTATATTAAATAATAATAATAATAACATTAATAATACAAATAATAAAATAATGTCTTTTAAATTATACGTGTGATAACATTGACAAAAAAAAAAAAAGAAAAAAATCAACAAAATTAATTAATTATATATATATATATATATATTTATATTATTATTAGTACCTGATATTCTGTCTCCTTCCACGACAGGAATGAAAACAAAAAAAAAAAAAAACAAACGACAACAAAACAAAACAAAAAAAATGAATTTATTTATTTATTTATTCATTTCCACGTAATTCCCCCCCCCCTCTCTCTCTCTCTCTCATACCTTTCAAGTTTTATGTTTTCCTGTTACCCCATTAATCCCGATTAATATTTTAGAGACAATCAATTTAAACTTTTAACGAGTATTATTAATTAATTAAAATAATAATAATAATAATAATAATAATAATTTATCAAACGTGTTGCACCACTTTCCGTCGGCGGCGTTGACGGGAGCGGGGGGTAAGAGAAGGGAGATGGAAGAGGAAGAGAGAGAGAGAGAGTGAAAAACGTTTTTCGTTATTCCTTGTTTACCTTGAAAAAAACGAAAGGAGCTCTGATATTTTCGATTGCCAATCAATAATATACCTTTTTTTCTTAATATTACAAAATTTAAATTTTTCGTTTAAAAACAAAATGGCGGAGGATTTCATCGCATGCGTGAAACGTAGAAAAAAAAAAACAATTATTTCTTTTTTTTTTTTTTTAAATAAATTTTAATTGAAAGCTTTTTACGCGCGTCGTATTATTATTATCATGACCACCACTATTATTATATAAAATAAAAATAATAAAAATGGCGACTTGTAACAATTAATAAGTATTATTATTATGTAATAAATTAAAATTATTTTTTTATTTTTTTTATTTCTTTTTTCCGTAAATAATATTAATAATTATGTCGAAATAAATAATCCACAACGGAGAAATGTCACGTGTTATTTTTATCCGCTTTAATAATAATAATAATAATAAAAATGGAGAACAACAACTCTTTTGAAACATTAAATAAAAAAAATAAAAAAACTCCATTAATTATTAGCAGCAATAAACGAGAATATCACAGAACAAAACTTTCAATTTAATATTGTCTTTCGTTTTTATCTATAATAATAATGTTTTTTTTTTCCTTTCTATGAGTTTCTTCAGTCGGTAACTCGTCAGAATTTCCTCCACTTTGAGCTGGGCTCTATGGATGCACGGCAGCACCGATTCGTTGACCGTACATAGAATACGGTGAATAATAAGGACCTAGAGCGGTGGGATTAAAGGCACTAAAAGCGGATGCACCGAGAGCACCGGTGAGACCGGGTTTCGAGTAAGGATGATATCTGGAGGCCGATAGAGGGCTGAGTGGAGGATTCGGGTAGCCGGCAGCTGCGGCCGCAGCACGGTGAAGTGCCGCCGAAGAATATAAAGAATGGGAATTGAGCAAGGATGTCACGGAGGAGGAGGAGGAAGAGGAGGAGGACGTAGTCGCCGGTTCTCCCCCGCTTCCCGTCGAATTCGTATGAGTCCTCAGATGCTGTAAGAGTTCGTCCGGAGTGGTGAATCTTTTACCGCAATAAGCGTCTCCGACCATCCAACTGCACACGTAGGGACGACCCAACTGAGCGTAGGGCGATAGAGAAGGTGGCAAACCCGGCGGGAGCATGCTGAGAGCGGCCGCGGCCAAACCGTATTTTTGATGATCGCATTGCGTGCAACCGCTGGGACACGTCGACGTGTTTCCGACGAGCATGTTCGGATTGTGCATGCTGAATTGACATCCGGTACAATACGGGTCCTTGCAAACGGGGACCAAAGCTTCGCCGCCGGCGGGAGTTTGCACTCTGACATAACTCACGTAAGGTCCGGGCGCCGAGGGCGAATAACCGGCTCCCAAAAGAGCCGCGTGATGATGAGAAAAAGGACCTCCGGCGAACGGAGGCCGGAAGGCAGGATTCGAAGGATCTAAACCCGGAGGACAACCCGAACACAAAGCACTTAAACTTTTAAGACCCGCGATTCCGGGTGGTAACGTTCCCGGTTTGTACGCTCCCAATGGCAAATCCTTTTGATTTCCCTGAAGGATTTCCAATCCCGACCGAATTATAGGACTCGTCGTGTCCTGTGGCGGTGTCGCGGATTTATCAGACGTTTCCGACGACGACGACGAGGACGACTGAGAATTTATTTTATCAGAAGACGACACTACCGTCGGAGTTGATTTCCTACTCGGTGCTCTCATTTCCGATGCAGATTTTCTTCCTTCCTCTGTTAAAAGGGTCGTCGTTTTCGACGGAGGACGATCCTCCGTCGTTTTTTTCGCCACGACATTTGTTTCGTAGGGTTTAAAAACGAATTTGCTACCATCCGACGGAGGAGAAGAACGCGGTACCGCATGATGTCTTTCAGTCTTTTGCGACGGACTCGAGCCAGCCCGAGTCAAAGATGTATGATCCGTAGAAGTGGTTGTTGAATTGTGTTTTCTCGTTTTTTCAAGCGGTGGTAACAATGCTTTCGTGCTCGGAGAATCTGCTCCGATTTGACTACACGTTTGTGCTAGAAGAGCAAGTGGACTCTTTTTCGCATCGAGCTGTAATCAATTTCAAAATAAAAAAAATTAAAACCACGTTAATTAATCGTATTCGTAACTAATTCCACGTTTTTTCCATATATAAAATTTCACATAATTTAAAAAAAAAAAAAAATGTTTTACCGTAGTTGGTAACGGTGAAAGATAATCGGGTTGCAGGTATTGATTACTGGCGGAACTCAACATGCCGCCTCCTTCAAGCACAACCATTTGTAATATCCAAAATACTTATTTAAATATTAATATATATATATGTAATTAAAAAACTATTTTAAACAAACTTTTTTCTTTTTTTTTTTTTAAAAAGAAAAATAATCGATCCAAACCAAAAAAAAAAAAAAATTTAATATTTCCAGTGAAACACTTTTAATATACTTTTTACTTAGGCACAAATGTAATTAAAAATTGCATCAACAACAAATGCACATTTTTTTTTTTTTTATTAAAATAAAAATATCCAAAGTTATCCAAATTACGTTAATCACATAATTTTTATATATTGTTTTATTAATTATTATTAATTATTTTAATAACACAAAAACAAACACAAAACAAACAGAAATTGAAAAAAAAAAAATTTTTTCAAAATAAAACAAAATGAAATAAACAATTATTATTTAAAAAATAACGGTTAAGATGACGCGTACGTTACAAAATCTCAACTCGAACTCATTCGAATGGCCAACGCTTCGGGTTAGCGGGTTCCCCCTCTTAAATTAAATTAAAAGTTCACTTTATTCGAACACGAATTTATTATTATTCAACGTTTCGATAGATGGAATTTTTTTTTTTTAAGCGTGTAAAACGTTTTTATTACTTTCGAATTTTATATTAATAATAATAATATTAAATTTTTATTTTCGTTTTATCTAAATATTAATAAAAACGCGAAAGAATAAAAAAAAAAAAACTTTATTAAATAGTGTGTGTGTGTGTGGAATACGTGTGGAGATTACGTTGTAGTTAGGGTACAGTGAATTAAATAAAAACTAACTAAAATTACATATATTTGAAAATGTAAAAAAAATTATTTTTATATTATCGAATCCATATAAAAGATAATCTTTTTATAATTTTCTTTTTTTTTTTTTTTTTTTTAAACACAAAAAATTATAATCACAAACGTGAACGGTCACGGATTTTACCCGCGTAGAGCGCCACCGTCGATGACAGGACCTTTCGGGCTTTGTCAAACAACCGACAATTCAGTGGCGTAATTAATCATTTTCATACTCATATATGTACATTCGGTTAATAAAAAGAAAAATATCAGGACCGTATCCAGATTAAAAATTTTTTTTTTCCCTATAATTCTTTGGATGATGATTATAATCTAAATTTAAATTAATAAATATTTTGAATGATGCGATAAATACAGAAAAAAAAATTTACGACATGATTCAATTTGATTGATTACACGACGAGGAATAAAAGTATTAAATGTTAAAAAATAAATAAATAAATAAATAAATAATAATCAATAATAAATTTAAATTCATGTTGACTACCTGTCACTTATGTGATTAATGACTTTTAGGTGCGCATACTCATGTTTCACCTTATATTATTATTATTATTATTATTATTTGCAATAACTATGGAATATACAAAGTCCAAGGATTTTACTAAATAATCATCCATATGCATACATATGTATTTTTATTTTATTTTATTTTTTTAGTTAATCTTATTAAACCGGATAAATTATTTGACATTTGAATTAAATCCGTTCGCTCGCCCCCCCCGTCCCCCACACCCCCCGCTCCGCCATTTTTTATATATTTAAACGAACCGAACAAACACGTTCGGTGTTTATTAAAAAAAATTAAAAACAAAATGGCCGAAAGAATTAAGTAATAATTTAAAGGTAATTTCATATTTTCCCACCGGTTCCCTTCTTCCCCTCCCCACAATGATTCTCATTGATATCGGTCGGACCATCCCGTCCCCCCGTCCTCCCCTTCGACTCTCCCCAAAGGCAAAAAAAAATGAAAAAATGAAAAGACTCAGGTAAAATCATTTTAAATTTTATTACTCTCTGGAATTAATTACCGTAATTAAATAATTTTAAAACACTCAGAAATTAATAATAATAATAATAATAATAATAATGAAGTGGGATGTGGAGGGGGGAAGCAGGAGGAGAAGGAGGAGGTGAAGGGAAAGTAAAAGTACGAAATGAAAAATATATAGAAAAAAAATTATGGGAACCTGGAAAAAGTCATGCTGGGATGCACTTTTATGATAGAAAAAAAAAAAAAAGGGCATTTGAAGGATTCTAGAAATATTTTTAAATTGTTTTTCTAGTGCCACGTTTTTAAAATCTTTTGTGTTTTTCTTTTTTTTTTTTTCTGAGTGAAATTATAGAAGAAAGAAAGAAAAAAAAAAATTTTATTTTTACGTTCGTGAGAAATAAAAAATTTATTAAAATTTATTGAAACGATATCCGCCATATTAGATTTACAATAATAATAATAATATGGAGGTAAAAGGATAGAAAAGGCGTCATCGAAAAAGGATTCGTAACAATAATAATAATAATAAAAAAGATTGATACGTTGTAAAATTTAAATGTCGGAATGTTTGTTGTTTGTTGTATATAAAAAGCCGAAAGTATTTTTTGAAAGTACTTGAAAATTAGCATGACTAAAGAATTACTTTCGTAAATGATCATAAGAACAACCGAAATAACAAACAACAACAACCATCACGACAAACAAGAAAATGAGATGAACGTTATGATAAAAAAAAATTTTTTTTTTTCGGTATATTCAGGTACCGTATTTTTTTTCTTTTTTATGATTTAAATTTAAATTTGCAGAAGAGAGAGAGAGAGAGATTATGTGTTATCATCTCTAAATATTTTATTTATTTTTTAAAATGTACAAAAACGTGGCAGCAGCAACAACAACGACAACGTAGACGACATAAACGAAAAAAAAAAAAAAAAAATTATTATTATTTATTACATATTGACAAAATGGCCTTTAACAATTTTTGTTTGTCGATTATCTACGGCCACGATCTTAAGACACGATGAAAATTAAAGTCATTTGTTGTGTCCGTTCAATTTTTTTTTTTTTTTTTTTTTTTACCGCTTCGTTATTCTATTCTCTGTTGCTTTTTTTTTTTTTTCTATTTCCACGATTGTTATCACGAAGGTTACCGTTTCCACACCTGCTGTCACGTTAATTGGTTGTTACCCCGTTTGATTTTTTGGTACCCTCATTATTATCGTTTTTTTTATATTAAAACGAACGTAATTTTATAATTGCGTGTCGAGTATCCGTTTGTTTGTTTGTTTGTTTGTTTTTAAATGTCGTTTTTAGTTAATTTATAAATTTTTTCTTTTTTACCCTTCCTCTTTTATCTCTCTCTCTCTCATTTTGTTTGTGTTTGTCGATTACGATCGGTTCGGTTAATTTATGTTTGTCGTAATTATTATTATTATTATTTAATTACCAAAAAAATGTTTTGATTGTTACGAATCGATGATGGTTTGATGACGTCATTTTTTTTTTAACTGACAAGCGGAAAACCACAAAAAATTTTTTAACAAAAGAATAAATATATATATGTATCGGTGATAAGTAGAGACAGAGAGGGAGAGAGGGAGCATTAAAAAAAGAACAACAACAACAACAACAACAACATCATCATCATCATCGAATAACAAACAACAACCTGTTTGCTTATAATTAGTATTTAATAATGTTGAAGTTTTGTATTTTTGTTCTATTGTTACAAAACAAATTATATTTTCCCCGTACGAAACGTCGATCTGATTTTGCGGTTGACATTGAATTGATTCAATGAATGAATGAATGAATGAATGATTGATTGATTGAAGAAAAGGGATATGAGAGTATTAAAAAAGGGTGGAAATATATGTCGCCATCGTCGACGTCGTTTCATCCTCAACATTTCAGTTAATTTTCCCCTTTTCTATCATTATTATCAATTCGACACGCATTCACATCTCTAATCAAAAAATATATCGATCGATAGATAATCGAATTAAAAAATCAATACCGGGTGTATCGATCGCGCGCGTCTTCTGCTTTTCTTTATTTTTATTATTTTTTTTTTTTAATAAAAGTTTTTTTGTACGTCATTAACTGTCAGAATTTACGCATTATTTGAAAGAATCATTAAACATCCATTTGGAAAGTAAAGAAAAGTTTATTGATAGTAATAATAATAATAATAATAATAATCGATCGATAGATCGATCCATCGATCAATCAAACAACAACAACAAAAAAAAAAAAGGCAGAAAGTAAACTAATCAATCATTTTCTGTCAACTTTAATTTCTTCTTTTTCTTTTTCATTTTCGTGATGTTTGAAAAATATATTTTTCTTTTATTTATAAAAAAAAAAGTCTTTAATAATAATAATAATGATAATAATAATAATAATAATAATAATAGTGGTGCATAATGGATGGTCGCGCATGTTTGTGTGCGTGTGTGTCACGTAAGAACAATTTTTAAAAAAATTTAATTAGTATCCAATGCAAGATTTGTAAGGTTAATAAAATTGGCGCACCTTCGTTATAAACAATAAAAACTTTTTACAGGCATTCATCCGTTCCAGGGAATAAATAATAATAATAATAATAATGATAATAAAAAATGGATGTAACGCCACTTAAGTCAAACCACATACTGGTTGGTGACAGACAAAAATGATTTACGTTTCCTATGGGCACGAGTTTAAAAAAGTGGCCGCGGCTACCAGTCATGATGATGATGGCGATGGTGGTGGTGGTGGTGGCAGTGGTGATGGTGGTTCGTTGTATTCATCGTCGACGATGGCATATCCTCACACATAAATATTCAATGTTTAACATTTTAGGGAAGCATCCGGTCGAGATTCGCGCCAAGAATGCCGGAAGAAGAGAGGGCGCAGTCGTTTTATTTAAAACGTCATTACCCTTTTCCTCTCTCTCTTTCTCTTTTCTAAAAACCTTTTCTCACGGATCACGTATGCGAAAATCCTCATGAATTTAAACTATGTGTGTGTGTGTCTTCATGTTCCTTCCTTTTCCTTTCCTCTCCACCCTTCACCACCACCACCATCATCATCATGTAAACTCACAGAATATAATGTAATAATATGCCCTATTACATATTCACTGAGCTAATACATCGTCTTAATTCATATTCAGATCTCATTAAATGCCAAACATCGCATGTATATATATAC